CTCCTCCTCCTCCTCCTCCTCCTCCTCCTCCTCCTCCTCCTCCTCCTGCCGCTGAACCACATCCTGCTCCGTAAACTGCTCTCCCCGGACCTCCTCCTTTCTCTCCCACTTGCTCCTCTGCTATCCCTCCTCTTCCTCCACCTCTGCCTCCTGCTGCACGTCCTGCTTCGCATTTCTCTCCTACTCCTCCTCCTCCACCTCCTCCTCCGGCCGCTCCACCTCTGTTGCTAGCGCTGCTCTCTCGGCTGCCCCTGGCTGCCTCTGCCCTGCGAGCCATGCCGCTGATGTAAACAGACATGCCACAACAACAGCAGCGAAAGCTACGCTACACCACGCCGCCAGACAAACGGCGGACCTCGCAAAAAGAGGCGACGTGACCGGCTGCAAAACACAACACCACCTCCATGGAGGAGCGCGGGAAGCCTGTGAAAAGGAATTCGGATGGGTGAGGAAAGGAGAGACTGGTTGCCACGGCTAGTCAAGGCAGCGAGCAGCGGCGAGGCAGTGCGAGTGGAGAGACTCTCGCCTCTCCGACTGACTGAGCGATGCAGCGGGGAGCCAGATGAGAGGAGTGGGGGGGGGGATGAGAAGAGGGGAGAGGTAGAGGACGAAAAGAGGGGAGGGAGAGCAAAACAAACCGAGAGTGTTTGTGTGCTTGAGAGGGAGAGGGAGAGGGAGAGAGCGAGAGAGAGAGAGAGAGAGAGAGAGAGAGAGCGGGGCGTAGTAAAAACGGAGGAGAAGAGGAGAGGAGAAATGAGGGGGAGGAAAAATAAATGAAAAGGAGACAAGAGGGAAAGGGAGACAAGAAGAGAATAGAGGAGATGAGAAGCAGGGGAGGAGAAGAGAGGAGACATGAGGGGAGGAAAAGAAAGGAAAAGGGAGACGAGAAGAAATGAGAAGGGGAGGAGTAGAGGAAAGGAGAGAGGGCAGAGTCATGCGACTACTGAACAGGTATGAGCTGAATAACAAACTGCCTGCACTCAGTGTTTTTTTGGGGTTTTTTTTTGGTAAATACGCTCTTTTGAGGGCTCTAATGTCAACACTCTCACCGTCGTCCTCTCCATCTCACTTCCAACTGTTGTGATTGCGGAGCAGTTCCCGGTGCACGTGCCCTTTGAACTTGTGTGGATCTCATAACTACTCCGCTTGAAACCCGACAGAGAGGACGATAGAGGAGGAGGATAACCGGGCTCGCCTGTATTGATTGTGTGTGTGTATGCGTGTGCACGTGTATGCATACATGCATACATGCATACATGCGCCTCTGCCCTAGCACTGACGCAGACCTTAGTCACCCCACCACAAAAATATGATTTAGCTCTGCACCAATGCTATACACACACACACACACCCCCCCCCCCCAACGGGGAGAAGATAAAGATATGCCAATAGAGAGGCAGAGAGCGAAATGACGGCACTCACACATGTATACGGGTTAGAGTAGTTCACAAATCCAGACTGTACTGCTGTTTCCCAATCAATTTGCTTGTCAACTTCTAATTCTGCGTTGTCAGTTTTGTCTCTAATGGCCACGACTTTTCAGTAATACCTTCTATAGCTCTCTCTGGACAACCTCAACCACCCTTTTTTTAGACAGGATTAGTTTTCAGGACAATGTCAGATTTGTAGCAATTATTTTACGACTGTCTAATTAGTAAGTAAATTAGGGAAATAATAAGTATCAATAAGTAATATTAGTTGGTCTATATTTTCATTTTGACATTTTTACACTTAGACAGAGAGCTAAAGGCAATGATTTGGGCAAACGTAAAAAAAGATAAGATAAGGAACACTTTTTTTCCTGTGCTGCTGCTTTTAGTACAAACTGAGCCGACAAATAAATGCATTAAACATCTGAAACTGACCGGGTGTCTACACCGGAAGTCGTTCTGAGACTATATTGATCAATAGAAATAAAATAGATAATATACTTTTTGTTTCAGTCAATTATCCAGGAAAAAATGCCAAAGATTGACTGTTTTCCGCCTCTCAAATGAAACTGCTTTTCTGTTTTTTTATTTATATCTTTGGGTTCTGGGCTGTTAGTTGTCCAAAACAAAATCGCTGGTTTGAAGCCCCCCTTCTGGGGCACAGAGATATTGTAACAGGCAATTTTCACAATTTTTATTAGAGAATATTTCATCAAACAATAATAGAGCGTTTAATTAAAATATTTGACAGCATCTTATCGTAATTTAACCAATGCACCCGTCTTATCCTGCCACCTAACAGTGGCCTTAGCAAGTTAAACTAAAACCCCTGGACGAGGCATACCGCAAGTCATTTCAACCAAGTAATAAATAGTGGACCCTCAATAACACACGTACAGATACGTTCAAAAAGCAGGGGTTTGAGGTTATGAGTGATTATGCCTGAAGTACAAATACCAAACACCGTTGACATCAGCATTTACATGTCATTAACCTAACTGACATCTGGGTGGAGTCTCAGTTGGCCTATGGTATGGATAACCAGTGAAATGAGAACATTGGAGAGCTGAGGACACCGTGTACTGAACAGACAGTTATGGAGGCGGCGGATTATTAAACTCAGAGCCAATCGCATGGCTGCTTTAGGATTTCCAAGATCTTCTTATCCCAAGTTTGTTGATGAGATTTTCTCCAGACCTCGAGCTCGCCGAGATGCAGGTCCGGCAATAGAAGATTAACTCCTTACTCAAGTTGCGTGAACACCAACGAAGAGGATAGAGCGTCCTTCGTGCCGAGCCGAAGTTACGGATGAATCAGACTTTGATTCGACTCTCACTCTGCTGCCAAATCTGTAACCTGGCAGGACGACAGGCCACCAAAACTCTGTCCAATAAGCAAGCGTCAAGAGGTCAGCTGTTTTTTGTTTACATGCCTTGGTTTGCTTGTAACTGTGCCGCTAGGACAGGAAACCAAAACTAACCTTTTCTGAATAACACCAGAGAAAAGAGACTTAATGCTGTGATGGCGAAGACCTGGTTCAAAAGAGACATTTAAAAAAAGAAATACAAATGGCATTGCCATGTTGTTGTAATGTCCTCAACAATATCACCGATTCAAACAGTAATATTTCCCTACAAGTCCTGTTCACGCAACACTATTGCGGACCATTTGCCACAGGGCTTTTCATACATCCATTGGTTTCAGATTGTCGTCGTATACTATGAAAATCAACTGTCAGACACACAACACTGGCATGCACAACATATCAAAAATAAACGTTCCTAAGCATTTTACTGCCATTTCCACATCGCCTTATATTACCTGGAAAAGCTAAACCAGCCATTTGAAAGAGATAAACCCCAACGCATGCATTATTGAAAACATACACACATGTCAAATGCTTCATAAATCATCAGAGCTCCACAAAGCCCTGAGCTTCTACGCAGTCATCGAGGGCCCTGACATTCTGCCGTAGCTTGCTGTAGACATAATAAAAAAAAATAAAAATAACAGGAGCAGCTTTTCCTCCTGGTTGCTCTCAGCACTCCACACTGACGCCGGCTATCATCGCAGTCATCCGTTATTGCTGCTCACACTGAGCAACGCTTTTCCATTAAGATCATAAAAGATTGTCCTATGACTTTACCGCTCAGATGGTCGTCGTGCTGTGCCGATCTTTCCTTCTTCAGGTTTTCCTCGGGCTGTGAACTGATCCCGTGGTGTTGTTTCTGTTCTAAAAATGATGAACCCACGTTGGCGGGAGCTCATATACTGTAAGTTCTTTGTATATTGTGCGAAGAAATCAATGCTCTTTTGTCCCCCGTGTGGGCTTAAGAATAGGCAGTAACACAGTAATTGCAATTTGCAGCTTATTTGCTGCTTGATGCTGAATGGAAAAGAACAGTCAGCAGTTGGTTTATTATAGTTTGTAAAAATTGATTGCATTGATTGTTATATTATTGATTGATTATACGGAGCTCCAGGTTGTGAATTAGTGGGGCGGTGGAGAAGAAGACAATTAAAACAAAAAGGGGCCCGAACGAACACGAGAGAGAATTTAATATCGCATAAATTCACCACGGCGACACCCGCTGCACAATTTAGAAACCTATTTAGAAATGCCACAGAGCAACCGCTGACTTTTATTGCGCCCACGGAGAACGATGCAAATCCGGGAAGCAATGGGGTAACTAGCAACACGCTTCTGTTCTGCTCACACGGCCAATTCAGTTTTACCGGGTCAACAGATGGCGAGAGAGAGAAAAAAAAAAAAAAAAAAAAAACTCCAAATGCCCCTAGACAATTTAATGTAAACACACCGACGCATCCAAATCACGTTAACATGGACTTGTGTTTGAATCTGCGGCGTGTTTGTCGGTGCTTACCTATACAGACGTCTATCTTGCCCTTGATGGCAGCTTCGTGGAGTGGCGTGTAGTTCCAGTTGTCGCGAGCGTTCGGGTCGGCCCCCTGACACAGCAGCAAGGACACCACCTGAAAACAGCATACAGAACATCTGCATTTTCTCTTTGTTTGGCAAAAAAAAAATACAATTCCAATTACAAGTTTCCCCCCTCATGGTTGTTTTTCCCCTACTCAAGTTGGTGGGCCTTAATCAAGCAAGTTTGGAAAACTCTGACTCTGGTGCAAACACAATACCCGAGATTTGGAAGTTTTTAAAAAATGATACTCGTTTTACTACCTTAAATTAGGGAATACACTTTTTTTGTTCGACAAAACCTTTTCTTTTCATGTTACATAGTATTTTCAGTGCATCAGTGTTGCTTTGTCAGAAAGCATCCATTCATCCATTTCACCAACATACATTACATCCATAGACTGTATGTAAGTAGTGGACGTAAGCGCCATGTCTCTAATGGGACCATCATTCACTAAATGAACATCATGCTGTATTGAAGAAGACTTTTAGCCTTTTAGAAATAAACTGATGTTAATGTTTACTGAGGTAATAACTCGAAGTCAGAAGTAGGTTTATTTACTCATTGACTTCTACACGACCGGACTTCTTTCTGCAACCATTCTGAGACAGAATGCAAATTTAAGGCTCTTCCGTGTTCGCTTCACTTTTCAGAACCGGAGGTTAAAAACTATTGCAGTTTAACACATTCCCTTAAAATGTCAACAGTCCGACGCAATGCACAATGTGCCCGTCAATCTCAGACTCCATTTTGACCTCACTCGTGTCATAAGACGGCCAGATACTCCTTTACTGCACGCAGCAACTTGTTCCCAACTCTAAGGGTTTACTCCTCCACTTTCCGGCAGAGTTATAACCCCGAAACACCCGACCTTCCACTACAAAAAAAAAAAAAAAAAAGAAAAAAAAAAAAAAAAAAAAAAATCACACTTCAACAAAAAAAAAACATAAACCAGAGGCAAACAGCCGCTTTCAGAGGTGCCTCTGAGCAGCGGCTGAGTGATTGGTTTCGGTTTGGACAGTGTTTACTCTCATCACAACGCTGATCATCCCTGTGATCACACAGCTGCATTAGCACTGCGCTTCTCCTGACGTGGTTGCAAAGTGCTCTCAGAGAAAAGCTCTAAAATTCCATTACTACTCCATTGACGACCGTGGTTAAAGGCCGGGAAGATGAAAAGCATTAGCACATCTGTCACAGAGCAGATTTGCATGTTTGGACCGAATTCTTGTGAATAAAACTCACTGTGCTGCAGAGGCAGTCAAAAAAAGAAAAAGAAAAAAAGAATACTACTTCATCAAAAGGGGTCGCTGTGCAAAGTCTCACCTCGGAGTGACCGAACGAGCAGGCGTTGTGAAGCGGGATCAGACCCCCGTCGTCCCGCGCGTGCACGTTGGCGCCTGTCTGGAGCAGGTGGTCCACCACATCTCTCCGCCCAAAACCTGAGATAGACATCAGAGAGAGAGAGAGAGAGAGAGAGAGAGAGAGAGAGAGAGAGAGAGAGCAAAAAGAAGAAGGAGATCGGCGTTACAGCATTGGAACTGTGACGTCCAGATGAAACTACTTCTTACATCACATCCGCAACTTTGGCAGAAGTTTCCAGATACTCTGAATTGGTCATTGATGTTGATAGAAGCGGCAGATGAATTAAGGAGCAGCTGAAACAACGGGCTGCTGTATCTGTCTCATGTTCATAATTAATAGTTTCCTCTAAAAACGTATTTTTTGATACATTTTGTTCATTTGTTTTGTGAGCCACACGTGACAAGCTGTTTGGGAAACGCACCATACAAGGGAAGCTCGCCATGTCTTCACTACAAACGTGCCGCGGGACTCGAGAGAATCGGTTCATTCGTCAAGCTGCTGGGGATTAAGAAGGCCTGAGATGTAAAACAGCTGTGCAAAGTCTTTCTTCTTTTTTTTTTTTATCTGCACCGATGAAAGAATTAAAAGCAGTCAAGTCTGGAGCTGAAGAGCTGAGCTGAACTGAAGATTAGCTCTTTTTTTTTTTTAATGGCCGTGGACCATAAAAAAGTACAGAGAGGAATAAAATGAAAAAAATGAATTATGATGTATTGTCGAGATGATTGAGTCTTCTTTATGTCTCGCTTGTAGCAAAAATGAAGTTTAAATATGACATCCGTCATGAACTCATAAACTGAGATCTCAGCCCCTTCGTTGATTATTTTAAAGTATGTTTCTACTCAAATGTTGCACAAATCTGAAGATAACTTCCACATTTTCAACAAATGAACATTGTCCTCCCATCTATTGGTGACTATTCTAAGAAAAAGGGCAACATTACCGCTGAAATGATGGAATTGTTGCACCCACACCTGTCCTTTACACCTGTATTATTTGGGATTCTGATGTGACCCAGCGACGCCTTATTTGCACAACACTGGATGGCAGCCATAGAAAAGATGCTTCCTCCACACTGTTGGGAATCATTTCACTACAACAATAATAAGTAGCTGTTCCACACGCATTACAGTGCAATATCCTCAAAGCCACTTTCTGCTGTTATGTGGTCATTAGTAACATTAACACATAATTAATACTAATACTCAATTTCAAATACTTCAAAGTTTACCAACTGAGAAAGAGGGATGGGGCATTTGTTTTAGACAAGAAAAGTCAGCATTAGGCCAGATTTAAATAACCAGTAGTGTAACATATAACATGGGTGCAGCATGGTAACTGTTACATTAATGCTATTGATAATTAACTGAACCGTTGATTGCATTATCCTGAAAACTGTTGTTGTGCAGCTAATGGCTAATGTCTGCCAATGTGTATTAGCTACTTGCTGGCCACTCCCACGCCCTGAAAGCATGTCTGCAGCTGCATTGACGGACTGAAAAAGATTACGTTTCTTCAAATGGTGATTTCCGTTATGTTTACCTGCAGCGAAATGCAGGGGTGTTGATTTACGTCCTGCCATGTCTTTTGCGTTCACGTTCAGCGCATCCACTTGTTTCTTCACCCTCGAAACATCCCCGGTCCGACAGGCTTCAAACAGCTCCCTGAAAGCCCCGTTTGCACCACCACCGCCGCCGCCGCCGCCGCTGCTGCTACCGCTGCTACTGCTGCTGCTGCCCGCGTCCCCGCTGCCGGAGTCGGGCGTAGAGCTGGGGCTGGTCCCGCTACCTTCGGTGGTTGTCGGGGAGCTAGCGCTGCTGCTAGTGCTGCTGCTGCTGCTGCTGACGGTGAGGGCCAGAGCTGGGGAGGTGGTGGTGGTGGTGGGAGAAGCAGGGGTTCCCTCACCGTCAACCCTGTTCTCCATCGCGCCTCCTCGGGTAAGCGGGGTGGCATCGTCGGTGGGTGTCGGCGGAGAGCCAAGCGGGGTGGCAGGGCGAGAGGAGCTGCGGGGCGGGGACGACAGCAGGGAGTTTGGCTGCTGCTGCTGCTGCTGCTGCTGAGAGGAGCGACGAGGCGTCGCCATTTTCACAACACAACAGTCCCCACTAGCAACAAAAACACTGCCGACAATTTCCTGCCCAGGAGAGTCCAACTTCCGCTCCGGGGTTTACTGAGATTACATGAATGGACTCTCTCCAAAACGGTTTAATCAACCTTTAGTAAAATATCAGAATAACTTCATGAGGAACATCATATGTGTGCAGAACTACAGACTAAATACGTTCTTAAAATGTGGTTTCTTGACCGTTTACACAAATGTATTCATCTCATTTTAAGTGTTTTATTTTTCTCTGTAAAATGTTTGTATTACAAAATGTGTGTTTTCCCCTTTACTTATTGGATGAAATTATTTAAAATAATAATTATTTTGGGAGGTTTTAAAGCTAGGGATTTGCATGTTTACTCTAATTCAAAAGGAGAACCCAATGAAAATATAGGAACGTTGGGCCTAACTTTTACACAAATGAAACGTGTTTACCTTTATCTATTTATTTATTCATTGTATGCATCTTAAATTTGTTCTATTTATGTTTCATTTTGAGTTGTGTTTATGCAGCCTACACCTGGTGGTACTGAGTTTACATGTTCTCAAGTGTGCTAGTTATGTAGCAAAATGAATTAAACTATTCATTTAGCTTATGACGCATACTTAGCAGATACAATCAATTGAGTTATTGGACTTTGTTGAGTCAATGTCCATGTTATGTTAATATGTGAGGTGTTATTTTAGCAGTAGAGGAGTTGAATGATGTCTGGCCTGGCTGCACACAATACTACCATCTAGTGGAGGTTGTTGGTAATAGCTTCAGGATACAGGAGCTGTTACACCGCAAATACAACAAACACCTAAAACACGTAATATAAGAATATACCGTCAAATTACGTAATTTCAGTATGTACAAAATTGCACATAGAACTGTATGTGTGACTATAGAATTTTTAGTAAACGTTTTACACAACATGTATACAACATTACACAACAGGAATGACAAACTATACAACAGTGTACAGACAAGATGTAGCATTAAACTAGTACATTATGTTACCATATGAAAAATAAATACATACCATACCCTTCTTTATCTTTTTACAGAAATAACATTTTACAAAGATCTAATTTCGCTGCTTTTAATAGTTGTCTAATGTATGTATTAGCACAAAAAAAACTATTATTTTATTGTAATAATTAATCAAAGAAGCTTAAAGTAATGTGTGTTTGATTGATTGACAGGTGACTCAGCCGACACCACTCTGCCATGTTAGTTTCCACACTGGTCTTTATAGTCCACCTCAGCACTACTCAAGCTACACATTTCATTAAAAAAATCTAAGGGGTATATCCCAGACTACTGTATACGTCAACATACAATCTGTGTATTTTGACAATTAAATGTACAGTTTTCCTGAGCTGAGCTGCATGTTTTGTACTGCAGAAAGACACCATTTACCCAGATGAAAAACTACCCCAACATGATGAAATAGACACTTAATACAGATAACAGAATATTGTAATAGTTTAATTAATTGGCCACCAGATGACAGCAGATAGGCTGCAACATTTATTTTGTTCATAAACTTGAATAAACCCTGAAAGATATAAGCATAAGTTTCTCTGAACAAAACCAAGTAAATAGAGTGGTCTGTCCTTTTTGATTTGCAATAAACTAATTTGCCCCTTTGTTGTGTATCAGTCTTTTCTCCTCTTGGTTCATTAACACTTCATCGACAACAATTTCTCAAGTAGAAAAAATTGAATTTCTATACTTTTCTTCAAATGGATCACATGCATGGCGTACACAATTCATGCTCATACGTGATGACGAATGCTCAGGACCAAACTATCCAATAAATAATAGCACTTTGTGAATACATTATTAATTGTGAAGAGACCTGCAATACAAATGTGCTACAAATGAAAGTGTGGATGTAGATGACACAACATCAAAAAAAAAAAAATGCCGCATCATGGTGACATGCAGAAATAAAAACATTAAAAAAGCTTTAACTCAGCCATGATTTGTAATTTATAACTCCTTTAATCTCCAGGTGGTGTTATTTTGTATACACACATATGACACGTTTAAACAACTTTTTTTTTTCTTTATTTATCTTGAGAAAACATGACACAAAAAAAGTAGTATTCCAAAAACGGGCAAAAATGGAATAAAAACAATTTACTTAAAAGAACATTTTATCTAAAAAAATGAGCTAGAAGAAGAAGAGAAACGTTTTCTTACGAGCTTCTTATCAAAACTGTCAATAAAAGAGCAGAGAGCTTTTCAAGCTTTGTTTCAACTGTGGAGGGTGTGTTTGAAAAGCCATCATCTCAGTTTGAAGCCAAAAAGGTCTAACTGGTTCATCACCGGAAGTCATCATCTGTCATTTTCTGCACCTTAAAATACATCTGCCACAGTAGGCTACTACTAGTAGTAGTAGTGGGGTTTTTAGTATCAGCACCAAACAGCCATGGAAATATACAATGTTTCACAATAGATCCTCTGTAGTTTTTTCTATGTGTTCTTCCGCAAGTAAATGAGGGATGTGACAGCTGATCACATGCGGTGACAACTGCTACAACTATGCTTCAGCTTGTAGAAGTCATAAAACAGGGCTGTTATGTCACGGGACGAGTATGCGAGCTTCCGTCAGGTCGGTTGGTTGACATACCTCTCATACTTCCTTCAGCGGCTCTTTGTGTGTCAAAGCTCAACCCAGGACCTGAAAAACAATTCCTAACCAACACAAAGCAACCCCAACGCCCTCACGAACATGCGACTTGACAGTTTGAATTTGTGCAGCCAGTGTGCGCTCGTGTGAATTTAACACATTTAGAGATAATGGAAAAACTCAGCTGGTCAGGTGTCGGTTGCCAGTGTACTCAACTTCCTACTGAAATAGGAGGTTTTTCCTATTGTCAGTCTTTCAAAATAAAAGTTATAAGAGGGTAACTCTATAGCAGGTATAATCACAAAACTTAAGCAGTAAAAATCGAATGGGATATTGATGACCACTTAAAATGGAGGAGTGGTTAAACAATGTAGTCTCTGGGCGTATCATCAGCTAATCTCAGGTTGTTCACTTCATTAGCAACTTAATCACGTTCATGTGGGATAACAGCTTGTGTGAGAGTCACACTCACACCGCAAGCTGTATGGGTCTTTGCACACTGATGTTGTTCATGTCCGGACTCTTGAGCATCAATCACATTGAACTACTTTACCCTATGAAGGGACTTTAGTAGCATTTGTGAATAATCCACTTTCATGGAGATAACAGAATGACTTGAGAGGAAACCTCCAAAAGAGCAGGGGTGGTCAGAAAGAGAGAAACGGCGATATAAACAAAGAGGTAAATAGAAACAGACAGATGTGCAGATACAAATATGTAGAAGGAGAGAGGACGAGAAGACAAACGCAACGAGGCAGAACGGTATTTGTGCTTCCTGCACAACTACATTCCATTTTTATCATGAAGTCTGACTTGGTCTTCCAAAGCTGATTACCTCACTGGGAAAGCTAATGCATTTTGTAATGAAGACGTCCAAAAATAAACAAGTTAAATTTGCAAAAATAGCAGTCTGAAGTGCGTGTCTTTGATTTACCACTTAATTAAAAGTTTCATCCTTGTTTCATTGTATTAATTGCATCCCAACCACCATTGTGTTAAATAGGTTGTTAAGGCTCCTGTTGAACAAAATTTAGACAAAATAAAACTACGTTCATCTTTAAGTCGACGAAATCAATATATGTGGCAAAGCTCCTATTAATCATTGTGTGATTGTTTATGTGGTGGCCTGTATAAGTCTATAGGCAGACACATACAGTATATTTCATCTGAGTCGTTTAGATTATTTTTTAATAAGTAATTTAATCGGGATTTGAGGACTACAATCTTATTAATCAAAGGGGTATAAATACAGAAGTTTTTATCATTTATATCATTTTATCAGCTGATGACACAGGCACGACGAAAAATCTACTTTTTCTTCTTCTTTATCACTTATCGCATATTTGCATGATAAAAGCTTGGCCGAAACTCCCGTCCTCTCTGCTGCAGGTGAAGATGAAATAGCTGTCGGCACTGAGCGCCACACCTGTCCTATTTGGGGACTGAGGCAGACGGGCAAGGCTAAAGCCCCGCCTACTAGTAGGTTTCAGTCGGACTTGTTTCTTAAGAGCAGCTGTTGGGACTGTCAAAACTCAGTCGCTCAGCTGTCTAGATTAGATTACCAGTTTGGGTGTACGCGCACACACACACACATCAGCAACAGTAACAAAAGCAACGGCAACCATGCCGAGACGATCAACGCAAGAGTGGATCCGGTTGTCTTTGCGCACCCCGGGCATCCTGATCTTCGGGATGGTTTTGGCTCCCTGCGGATGGATCCTGAACCTGACAGCCACCGTGGCACCAAACTGGAGGACCCTCAACGACCTCCCCAACACTCCGGTAAATGAGTTCATCCAGCAAGGCATCTGGGAGATCTGCAGGTCCACCTCGACAGACACGAGGATTAATTGTAACCTGCAGGACACCTTGTATTTCGGCAACCAGGTCATCGAGGTCGCCCAGGGTTTGATGGTGGCCTCCCTCATCGTGACTCTGATCGGGCTGGCCGTGGCCATCCCGGGGGTCCGCTGCTGGAGAGACAGGCCTAAATGGGTCGTGGCCGGCCTGGGCGGACTGTTGATCTTCCTCTCAGGAGTCATGGTCATCATACCCATCGCCTGGTACACCCACATCCTCGAAGACATCTCAACGCTGACCCCTCGCATAAACGTGCGTGTCGGCTACTGCATCATCCTGGGCTACATCGGCGGGATATTCGAAATCCTGGGCGGCGCCGTCATGTTCATCGGGATCTGCCGTTGCTGTGGAGGAAAGAACCGAGGGGAGACACGCGTCGAGGAGGTCACGGGCCCCCGGTTCAGAAATCAGAAGCAGCCCGCGAGACGAGTTGAAGTGCCAAGCCTGAGCCGGCCCAGGAGCAGCGCCAGCAGCGTTCCCTACTCGAAGGACTCCCTGGATGAGGATGTGTCCTTCCCCCGGGCCAAGAGCCCAGCAGCCCCGTCAGTCAACACCTCCTACAGCGGCAGACCCTATGAGGCCGACCTATGAGAAGCACGTGTCACACATCTGGGTCTCCATGTAGACGACACAAAAAACCTATGCACGAGGAAAACTACCTAGAGACGGACACAGCAATTTGCAGAAGGGACTGAGAGTGGGAAATATTCTAGGAAGAAGCAATGGTAGTTACTCAATGATTTCATAACATTACAAATCTAACCCACTTTAGTAAAACTGTCTGTAATATTCTGGAGTATTATAGTAATAACATAAAACATGCTCATAACATAAAGTTCAATTCATTTGTGACCATATGAAATATTCTAGGAATAGGCTATTTTAGTGGTAAGATATCAAACACCGTAAATATTGTGAAATCCCTGTAAACTCACTATTAAGTGAAGCAGAATCACTTTAGGTCTCGTTGAGTGTTACACTGTGTCAACATTAGGACAAGTTATAGGCTACTTGAAGGCATAAGTGTTAAATGATGTGAGTGGCAGAGCCAGGGCTGCAGTTTAATGTGGCTACAGATGAGATTCATTATGGGCTAAAAGGTAGCCTCATTCTAACATTATTATGATACAGGATAGTTGTGTGATTCAAGCAGTGCAGTAATTCATCCCATCTTTACCATTACTGCACTGGGGGAAAAAGTGGAAGTGAAGAATTATGTATTATTGTGAGGGTGAAACATGGAGATAAATTTGTAAATAGTTCTCATCTGTAAGGAACCTTTTGCATTTTTTTTTTCTGTGTACACTGGCACATTTTTTGGGCTATGTTTTTATCCATTTTTATGTAAATAAATAATACATATTGTACTGCAGAGGTGCATGAATTGATTTTTAGGATATTTGATAAGTGGAAATAGCTGCGGTCATGAATACAATGGGGGTAAAGTTAAATGTTTTGTCAGCAGAAAGTTTATAAAAGTAAGAATCTAAAATCTTAGAGAAGTATTGTATTCTATCATCCGTGACCAGAAGTCATAGGGACACTATTCAAACACACATATGCCTCCCCGTCTGCTCAGTCGTCACCTCATACATACACAATGTTGCCCGACCGGTCCGAGAGGTTAGTTTCTTTCACCATCTTGTCGAACAACATTATACCTCTTCTGTTTAAACTGGCCTAACATCTCAAACAAGGCAACACTGTAGTGAACAATTGTCCCTCTATAGATCCCTGAGAGTCTTTTGTTGTTAATTTGGCCCCCGAAGGAATCATGATGCAGTTCTCCCTGCAGGACCTGTTGAATGCCACAGTTAGACGTGGAGTAAAGTAAAGAAAAGCTGTTTTTAAACTGGCACTGACGGCCATAATGAGTGCATCTGCTCATACTGATGTAAACACAAGTATCAGAAAGAGAAATATGGTTATTTGTGTTGAAACAACTTAACAAATAGTACATTTAACAACCACTCTGATCGTGGTAACTCAGAGTAGTTGGTTGGAATGAAAAACCCATGAATGCAGGAGAAATAATATCAGTAAGCCAGCTATAGTAACGTTAGTCTTGATTAATAACTCTTAACTTTCTTGGTAAAAAAGATGCTTCTGCATCTGAGCAGATTTCGAGAAAAAGGATTCAAGAAGGGATTGGGTTGGGTTTGGGTTGGGTTTCAAGCTACCGTCTATTAAATTGTCGCCTAGAATGCAGTGACTCACGAAATTACGGTCCAAGATAAGTGGGGTGAATGTTGACAAAAGACGTCAGTTATTATTTGAAGCCTCATGCTCTTTAAAAAAGTTGCATTGCACTTCCATAAAGTTGGGAGACTCTCATGAGATGGATTAAAGAATTGAGCAAAACAATACATCAGATCCAGATTTGAGTTTCTAGCATGGGTCAAGCTAAAAAAAAAAAAAGCTGGATCCTGCATTTCCCATAATGCAACCAATGCACCTTTATGTCACACACGTTTTTTTTGAACACCCACGTTTTCTAGTTTGTAAAGCAGATTTTCTGCTAAAAAGCTGCAGTCTCAAAGCCTGCTTTCATTACTAGGAAAGCAGGAGTTGGTTACTAATGAGCACACTTCCCGGTTGGTACTAACAGTTAGTATCAATCTTTAGGCAGATCCTTTATGTTCCTTGTTGTAACAGATGCATGTTAATAGCCAGTCCGTCTGCATAATTGCATATCAGTCATTCCAAGTCTGTGTTCCGGTAGAGTTTAGTAAACACTGAACCTGATACTATCGTGTAACAGGATCCCAGAAAGATGCTAAACAGGCAGCGGTGCATGTTTTGGTGCATCCCCAACACACACAGAGACATATGTTGGTTGTCAGGGTTATTACACATAGACAACCTGTAGCAGAAGATGTGAACAACTTAGTAATGATTTAAAAGTGACGCACACTCATCTTTGTATTGTTATATAAATTAGATAATATTTAAAAAAATACTATATACTAATCTATAATATTATCAGACCATTAAATAGCCTTTACTTAAGCTAGTGGCTAGCATAGCTGCAAACTGTAGCTAAAACTAAGTTAACGGACTCTGCTGTGAAACAAACTGATAAAAGAGTATTGAAATAAAGAGCTACAGTTGTCGTTCATGTAAAGTCCTGCACATCTGCAAACAATTCATGTTAATAAGAAAGGATGCATCTTTACTTTGCTTAAAAAAAGACGTGGAAAATATTATCAATATCGACCAAAAGAGGACACAATACTATTTACACATGGCATTTATACAGTGGTTATGTATACATCATTTTGGTGTGACATACACACAGAACAGAAAAGTGTATGTGCAGAGATGGTATTTTAATCAGACAGTTGCTTGTGTTAGACATGTGCACTAACTGCCTGATTGTGTTGGTGAGTGGCTTTATAATTAAAAGTATACAGGCCAATGAAATAGTCCATAAGAATAGACGCCCTTTGACAATTGTAGGGGCATGGACACACCAATCACTTTATCCACACATCAGCTTGTTCAACATTTGCAAGGCTATGTCTGCACAGCGCTAACATGACAACTTCTAAACTAATTAAAAGGCAATAGTTGCTAGCACTTACCAGCAGCAGTCGTAATGGCCCAAGACAGACATGGGTGAACACTTTTTATCAATGACCCATGTGTTATGCAAGGAATACAGAGGCCTAAGTAAGTAGACCACCAGAAAGTCGTGTACTATAGTTTAGCTGCTAAAAATAAACCCTACAAGCTATTTAAAAAAACAAGCCAGGAGCCAATGAAATAAAATCTGGTTTTTAACACGACAGGAATTGTAAAATGAAGCATAACAGGATCTGGGAAGGTGTGCACACACATTTCAGTTTTGAGTTATTGACCTACATTCTCCTGCAAAAGTAAGCAACTTGTTTTTCTTTCGGTAAGCACACTTTTTCTGTCAGGACCGGGTCACCTCTAGCTTTCACGTGACAGATACGACTCAAGATGGAATGTTGTGTGGCAGCGTTGAAAATCAACAGTAACGTCATAGTTGTGGTAGTTTACCGAGGGCCTGAGCAAAAATGCATTACTTTTGTCATTCTCTCGAATGAAATCAGACGTATATTCAAAAGAAACAAAGCCGTCAACAGGGTGTATTTTTTGTTCTTTTGTCAAACTAACCCATCACATCCCATAGAGAAGAATGACAAACAAACTGTTCGGTCACTTAGAATCCATTTATATACAAATATGAACATGCGCAGTATGCCCAACTCATCCTTATCATTTTCATCATGCTGTCACATGATCAAAATAAATCTACATGCAGTTTCAAAACATAGTAATTCAGTCAGAAATGTACAATAAAATAAGATAATACAGCAAAAAAAAAAAAAGAAACACTTAACACTGGCTGTGCTCCTGAGAGTATCGTGATTACTCAGTAGAGATTAAAGATTTAAGACAAATCAAATCTGGTTTGTGAAATAAATTGCTGTGGAAACATCTGAAGTTCTTCCACTTTTGGTTTGCAACACCCGCATGAAGTACAACAACATGGCAATAAGAACCGCTCACTATCACCGTATAGCAGCCACCTGCGCTTTCCCTGTATTTAAAGGACACTACTCCTTTAATAAAAGAGAACAACTGACAGGTGAACATTTGCATTAGTTTACGTAAAGTATAACAAGTGTTAGAGGACACAATCAGCGTATCTATGTAAACAAGCTTCCGCACACATCAAGGAAGAAGATTTTGATCAGGAGCAGACTGACATTTCTCATTGTGCATTGAAACTGTGACAACATGAACATTTAGCCCATAAAAGTCTCTTCATTTCTTGCAGAGTGACACATGTTGAATTGCTGTTTGTTAGCACTAGATGGCAACAATAACTCTAAATAATAATTAACACTGAGGATATATTAAATTATTACTATTAAAGTGAACAAACATTTAAAAAAAAAAAAAGGTTTTGTAAAGTTTAAGTTTTTCATATAATAACATAATTATTGCAGTTAAGTTGTGTCACTGTTAACCCCGTTAAAGCTCAGTTCAGTTTTTGAGTTTGATGCTGCAAGAATGATTATTATTTTTTTTTTTACAAAATGTAACAAACTTCGCGATAAGCGTGCTGGAGAAGGATGCTGGTGGACGTTTAGTTGTGTCTATGTCATGGTTGACCTGGATTAGAACGAGAGGATCATTATTTCATTTTTTTCTCTTCCAATGATGATGACACACATCCACATTTAGACACAGACTTAAGGTGTCAGCAATCAATGAGCACCCTGCGGAATTTTTGACCAGTACTGCTATGGAGCAAGTGATGGCCCCTGTTACTTTTTTTTTTGGGGGGGGGGGGGGGGGCTTGTTGAACTCTACAGGGCACCTTTAAATACACAAGTTCCAAAAGTTAGTTTGTTTTCACACGTAATTGATTTTGGTGAAATAATTTTTCCTTCAAATGATGAAATAATGAAATTATTAAAATCAAATTCCGATACTTTTACACACTTTACATTCTATACTTCAGTCAGATATCGACACCCAAATTGAAATCCCAGGCTGTACCACACAACATGTAAAGCATTTCAGCCGTATGTCTACCTCGGGTATGATGGAGATTTATCAACATTACACAACAATGTTGGAGCCTTGTTTTGCTGCCAGATGTTTCCTATTGACAACAGACAAAAACACACAATTAGTTCATTTGTGAACATTTCATCATCTCATGTTAATGTATTCGGTGTTGTGCCAACATGTGAACAAATGTTCAGCAAATAGCAGCTTCCAGCATGCAATAAAAAAAGAGACTCTTCAAAAGACGTTCCAAACATTATTAATCCCTTACAATTCAATAAAAAAGCCAGATTCTTTGGATTCTATGCTGATGAAGTTTCGGTTGCTCTTTTAATCTATCGGTGCTTATGCTTATTATCACTTTCTTCTTCTCTATATCACAAACAAACCAGGTTCCTGTTTGAAAGAGAAACCGAGTGTTCGGAATTGTTCATCTTTTTCTCTTCTTTTCAAGAGTGAAGTGACAGGATCAGTATTAACTTCATAAATATGGTGTTTGAGTCAGGATCGACTAAGCTTGGCTTAAGTGCCAAGACTACATTTGTGTGGATATGTTTCACTGCTGCGCCGATGACATCCAGCTCTACATTTACACTAAATCCATCACCACTGCTACCCACTCCACCCTGAGCAACTATCTCACTGAAAAGCAAGTCATGGATGCAAGCCAACTTACTCAAAATGTATTGTGATATATCAGCGATGATCGTCATCAGCCCCAAATCCCTCAGCCACTCACAACTTCTGCCTCACCATCTAGAACTCCACTCTCCCTCAACAACAAATCCAATTCAATGTCCTTCCCCCTCACTCACAAAGCCTTCGATAACCAGGTCCCCTTCTCCCTCTCTGATCTGCTCCACTACCCTCCTCTCATCCACACTCAAATCCCGAATCAAAAGTCACCTTTTAGTACTACTTTTAAAGTGTAATTTATAGACAAAATAGATATAGAAAAAAAACTTAAAAACTTTGAACAAACAGTACACAACGTGTTAGAGAGCTTTAGAGGTTGATGTGCATACGTTTATCACTTTAAAGCCAGGCTTGCTGTTTCCCGTTTGCTTCCAGTCTTCATGCTAAGCTAGGCTAACCACACCCTGACTCCAGCTGCCTTTTTAAAGCACAGACAAGATTGATGTCATTCTTCTCATCTCGAGAAGAAAGCAAATAAGCGCTTCCCCCAAAATATTGAAACTATTCCCTCAAAAACCTTTAACGTACAAGCTTTCAACAGAGTACCGCTGAGATTTCAGTACCTGTTCCTCTTCTTTTTCCTCTGCCTCAACTTGGCCAAGAAGAAAGCCAAGATCAGCACCCCGAAGATGACGGCTAGCACACTCAGGGTCAGCGGTAGACTCAAGGACCCGTTGACCGTGTCTTCGCAGAATTCCCCCCGGTAGCCCAGGTCACAGTCGCACACCAAACTGGCGCCGCCACCCAGAGGAGGCACGCAGGTACCGTGGTCGTTGCACAGAGTTTCTCCACAGGTTGGCAGGGTGAAGTCGATGCCTCCCGGTTGGGGAGGCGGGAAAGGGGTGGACATCATGGAGGAAAGGGAGGAAACACTGAACTGTTAAGGGAGGGAGGGATAAGTCGAAGGAGAATTGGAGAGGAGAGAGATGAATGGGGGGGAAGCCACACCCTAAAACACAATGGGGTCACACAACAAAGAGAAGAGACTGTATAGCTCGAATGGATGTCCTGAGATCAGGCTAACTCAAACACGTCTGCAAGTATGTTTAACTGTACCCCCCCTTAACATTCAGTTTCACTCTTCTTCGTAAAGGATCATTTAATAGAAATAAAGGCAATCGGATCTTTTACCACCAACCAATCGTCTGTCCTGCGTGGAACTTTTCACATGTGAAATCACATTTCAGCACTATCTTTCTCCCCTTGCTAACTTAAATTTGGTACATTTCATACAGTGTTGGCTTCAGTGTTTATGTTGTGCTCAAACTACCATTTAAAGACAGTGTTTCCTTCAGGTCCCAGACAGAAATGCACACTTTGTATGCAATAAAGAGTGCGATCCCCCCTTGAGAGGATGTTCTAATCAGTGAGCATGAAGGTATCAAGTGATTTTTAATTTGAATGGATCTCATCCTTATTGGTAAAGTCCAGACTTTATCTTAATAATCCCCAAATATATACACATTCAATATAGTTTTGTTGATACATTTTTTCTTTGTATGTATGTAAAACAATAACAAAAAGTATTACTAAAGACTACTAAAGATAGTCTGTAAATGGGACAGCTTCTTAAAAATGTCCACTGTTCACACACGACAACCTGCTTGTTGTGCGGCATCTCACCCTCAGATGAATTTGACTTTTAAATCAACACATTCAAATGACCAAATTCTCCCAACAGCCTAACTGCAGGTGTAGGGAACGTCAAGGATTGTACATCTTGCCATGTGACAAAATTAGATTTTCCTTTGTTGCATTTATTCTTTCCACATGAGTAACAAGTTGTTTTATCATCAACAGCATTAGGTGTACTGTACAGAGACTGAACCCAAAAGGAAGACTGTTTGCTATCAGCTCATATAGCTCCTATTAAAGAAACATCAACCTTGTCCTAATGATATAATAAATGCATCTTAAAGGGCACTGTTTGTTTCTGCCAATCCTAAACCAAACAACGCATCTGTTGAACGGTGCCGTACACATTCATTAACATACCGAATGCATAAAGAGAGTAGGTTACTGCATCGGCTTTTTAGATTCTCAACACAAGAATAAACCAAGAGCACAATGTAGTTCCATTCTGAGCCACAGAAGTTGACTGCGAAACAAAGTTTTGCAAATACTGTAGTATGTTAAAAGTCAACTTTAAGGGACAAGACTGACAATCATCCAAAGCTATACAGCGTGTCGGTTATCTGATAAGTCGTGGTTGTGAAGTTACTTCAAGGATCTCGTCATTCAGATTTCCCAGCAGCACAGAAAGATTGTATTCAACACTAGCTTTGGAGCTGACTTTCAATCGTGCAACATTTCAAAATGCGACTAAATGGAAAACATACTCACAGAAGCAAAGAATGCAGACCTGGCGTCTTTAAATGAAAGCTGGAGAGTTTTATTTTTTGATGTCCAGGTGTCTGTGCCAAAGGTCCTGGGTCTTTGGAAAAGAATATCAAGTTCCTCTTTCAGTGGGGAATCGGCCACAAAGGGAAGGAGGGAAGAGGAAGAAAGCCGAAACCTGTTAATACCTGCCTCTTTCCCCCCCTAAACTCACACACACAATTACCTCCTCCTTCCTCATCTTTAAATGGGTTGAGTCATGTACACGCACTGGCTCCCACCAAATATCCCGACATGTATGGAGTAACTTTACATTTCATAAGGAGAATGCAAACCAATCTTATGCTTCGGTTAATCTCTGACTCACGCTGACTCACAACAGTCAATGCTCTGGCATCCCTGGGAAAAGTCAACTTTATTTGTGTGGCACCTTTCAGACATGCGCAGGACACCAAATAGCAAAGGCAAATAAAAGTTGACGGAGAGATACATAGGTTTTCACTAAAAACAGGTAAATAATCACAATTGGATGCTGAACATTATAAACACACACGTTTACACACACCATAGCCTAAGGAGTATTATACTAGGATACAGTAGTTGTGTTTGACAGACAAGCCATCATGGAAGGAGGCGGCGCGGCTAGTTAGAACAAGACGAGCTGGCAAGACCCGACATGCCTGTAACATTCAGCGCTTCACTAGAAAACTGCTGAGGGGAATTCTTTTAGGCCTCCAAGGGAAGTATTGGTTTTTGAGTAAGATTTGAACGTTATATTTTTTTAGTGGCATGCAAGCGATGCCAATGTTGATCAGTTGTTTGATCCAACAACTACTGGATGGAGTGCCATGACATTTTGGACATTCCTGGTCCCAAGAGGACAAACAGTCCATGTCAATTACCATATTGGTAATACCCTCGATTTTCCCTCTTGCGCTACCAGCAGGTTCATTTTGTGTCTTTTACTGAAATCTCTTAACTAGTAGGTCGACTGCGATGACATTTGGTACAGACGTGCATGGTTCCCAGATGATGAATCCTAATAACTTCCGTGTCTCTGACTTTGCCTTGAGCACAATCATCAGGTCAAAGTTTCGGTTTGTCCGATACTTTATTTAAGATCAAATACCTGCAAAACGTAGGACATTCTAACACTGTCTCACAGCAGTTTGCGAGAAAGACTTTTAATCTATATCGCTTCGTTTACTTGGACAGGAATTTTCTATATACCAATGCATCCCAATTGGAAGTATCTTCCATGCCTGCTCCATGTTTTCTTTCGGTCAGGCAGTTTTGATACAAGATGATATTGACAAAGACAAGATACTGTGAGACTATCTGGGCATCAGGGGCATTTCTAGGATTCAAAGAAGGGGGGAGGGGGGGGTTTAGCCCCAAGGGGAGTGTAATGTTTGTGCGCGTAGTGCGCTGCAATTTTTTTTGGGGCCGTGGATATCCATTGTTTCAGACAGTTCATAGATTGGTTCAATCAGAAAGTGTGGTTTTGCTCTGTAGTTTTGCTTGCATTCAGTATATGATAACACAAGACAGAATTTGAGGGTCATAGTGAAATTTGACAACACAAATATGAACTTTTCTCAAATAAAGAGAAATAATTTTCCTGCTCGTAAAGGAAAGACAAACTAGTCTTCATATCCGCGTCACTCCCAAATCCTAATTCTTAAAGAGACCGCACACAATGGATGGAGAATGGACCTGACAGTCAACTTTATATCGTTAAGTATGATAGGCTATTGGATTGTAATTTGAAGCGGGAGAAAACATACAAACCAGAACGCACACACATATGTAGCATGTTAGTTATAAATAACTTGTCCTTGTGAGAAACAAGTTCAATTTAATGACACCACAAAAAAAAAAAAATTTTTTTTTTTTTTTAAATCCAATAATGCCAAATTATTTGGGGGGGCTTCAGCCCCCCCAAATAAAATAGGCCTAACGACGCCCTGCTGGGCATCAAGCAAGACGTACCCACACCTCTATTTATATTACTGTAGATCTTTCACCCGAGTATCTGAGTCATCAGGGGAGTTCACTCCAGGCCGAGATTGTGTAATATTTACACAACAATCTATAGTGTATTCAACAATACACTAGACGAGTGACTTTACTTTCCCTATGCTCTGGTGTGAGGCAGAGTCAAGAGGACCTTTCATGGCTTCTGTTAAACTACCCGCCACCAACACAATTGTTGATACAGTATAAGAGGAAAGAAGATATTTATGCAACACTGAGGCAAAGGCTACGTGAATTGTATTGGTACTTTTGATCAGTTAAAGTAAAAAAACAACCAACCACATGCCTGCATGTGCCCCATCTATCAAGTTTGACCGATATACACGCGGAAGAATGTGAACAAAGGGACGTTTGCCAAATACTTTTCTGTGGAACTAAGACTGGATGATGAAAAAGGGAACCAAAATGTCACAAGGAGGCATTGGATCGAAACTGGTATCAGATTACAAAATGGCAACAGACTAACAAGGAAATCAGAAACATTTTGGCAGCACACATTCACTGAAAGGATGACCTGTGATGGCACACACACTAGACAGTAAGTAGACAGCGAGCCCATAAGCATTAGACAAGCACAGTTATAAGCAGCATTAGTAAGATGTACAATATAGTACACACAAATATAAGTGTTGAAGAAACACCAGAAGCTCTGAACAATGACAAACAAGTAAAGACAGAAAGTCATGAAGAGGTTAAACACTGACAAATCCGTCTGGCTTTGACTCAAGGGATGTGATGTGAAATATAGTAAGTGGAAATGTATGTATAATCAATAGAGCAGCATGTTAAAACACACTCCTATGCTCTCCTGCGTTCCCCATGCCACTGCTTGCTCTAAATCAAAATTTTAACTGCAACTCAAATTTTCCAGAAGCTTTTGTCACTTTTCTGAAGGTTTGTGCTTTTGCCAAGAGCAGTAGAGACGCATTATTAAAACAGGTTTTCTAGAGTACAAAATGTAAACCCTTAAGGTCATGTATAACAACTACCCCACCAGTGGCACTTTCTATTAATGTGTTATTATGTGGACAAACTATTTGGGAAACAAACAAAGACCCTCTGAACTTGCAGAAGAGAACCTTCAGAAGTTTTTCTTGTCGGAAATAATAAAACAAGCAGTCGGATTTTTAATTAATTTCTTTTCACCAATTTTTAATGCACCAAAAGACAAGCACCAGAGAAACTCATCCTCAGACAATACTTGTGAATGCATAATGCAGAACTTCTATTGGAGCTGCAGTGACTTCAACACTAGCGGGGGGTTCTTCACATCTACTGGGGACTCCAGCTCCTGGGGAGAAGAAAAGATCGGGTTTATAAACAGATGCTTTTATAAGAATTAAAAAGACAAAAGCCTGTTTGCAATTGTACTTGATCTATTAAAAAGTAGACAAAACTGACATAAATTCAGCTGCCTTTTGGCCAAAATTGAAAAAGAAATAAATGGAGATGTAATATTTCTCGTTGGCCTCAGGTTTTACCTCACAGTCTGAATCGTATCGTTCACATGCCAGGTCCATGTGTGCCATCAGAGTTTCTTTATCCAAGGATCTTCTTCTGAGGGACGGCCAGACTCTACTGTTGAAATGAGATTAAAAGTGTTTGTTTTCTACATAGGTCACAAGTTGCATAAAACAATATCTCTGAAGGGTTTAAAAAAAAAGGTCCAAGAGCCTCTTAAAAATCAATTATTAAAAATAAAAAAAACACTATAGCAACTGGCTTTAATGTTTAATTTCTAGTGTGTAAAGTGTCAGTGAAATGATCTGCATTCATCATAAAAGTGAATCCCTCTGGCCAAGGTGCAAAAGAAAACTCTTCCTTGTGGCCAGTACCTTTTAACGAAAATAAAAGCAGCAGCCGTCAACACAGCAAAGACGCAGAGGACACCCAGGATCAGAGGCACGCGGCTCCGTCCAGTTTCTGCCTCTTGACAGGACTCTCCCTTGTAACCAGCCACACACTGGCAGCGAGTGACTTTGCCCTCTGTGACGCAATTGCCATGACCGTTGCAGCGTTGGAGATCACAGGATGTAGAGTCTTTAACTGGGAGCTCAGAGTTCTTTTGGACGTTGTTGGGGTGAGGAGAGGCGTTAGACGGGGGAGGGCGGCCATCACTGGATTTGGTCCAGAAAGACGCAGAGTTTGTGTTTGGACCTGAAGAGAAAGTCAATGTAATCAACGTTCTTGAAACTTTCAGGTATCTCTAAAGCTAAATTAAAAAAAAAAAAAAAAAAAAAAAAAAATTAATCGTCAATTATTGCACTGTTTTGGGGCGGGATTGGAATTGCTGTAGTTAGAATTAAACAATGAGAAACATGTGGATAAACAATTAAAGATTTGGATGATATCTCACAGTCTTGTTCATCCGACCCGTCTGCGCAGTCCACCTGTCCGTCGCAGAACTTGCTGCCGCCAATACATTTGGTACCGTCGGAGCAAGATTCTTCCCCCGCGGGGCAGTCAGGGAGCGGCGCACAGGAGGCGGCATCGACGGCGTAGAAACCTTGGCCGCATTTACATGTGTGACCCCCGGGATAGGGCAGGCACAGATGGACACATCTGCCGTTGTTGGAGCAGCCATTAGTTCCTGGAGGAAATGTGTAAGAGGATTAGCAAATTAAGACAAAACCCTTCGTCTTTGGAAGGAAATCAAAGAGACAGCTTCTCACGCTTAAAATAAAGCATGAGCAAATAAACAAAACAAACATTTGAAGTATGATTGAAAGAGGATGGGAAGAGACTTATCATGAACAGCTGTCCACTGAATTAGAAATTCTACTTCTTAGTAATTTATCCCATGCTTAGATATCACATCTTATAGCCTGAAACTGCAATGAGGTTATGATTTTATTTAGAGCCGTCTTTAAGTACTTTCAGTACCTCACAGGCCTCAAAGTCTCAACAGTATTTATCGTTTACATAAACTTGCACCAAGTCTTCCTCGACTTTATTGTTGTGTAAAACTATGTTAAGACACATTTCTGTTAATCTTAAATGTGTTAATAGGCATTCTTGCGTCTACATACAGTGGTTTGTATCATGCAGTAATGAGGAAATGACTGGCACACACCATTAGCCCTCATCCGCATGTCAAACCGTCAGTTTTGGCGCTGTACACAAATCAGGGCGTCATGGCAGCGTCCTCATACAGTCTGCTTTGGCGCTGTAAGGACGCTTCAGTGCCAGATGGGAAACATGATACTGGGTTGTGTTGACATTTATAATTGGATAATTGTGAAAGAGGATATTGGGCCTCTGGATGTGTGCCAATTAATGTTCACACAATGTTTCATTTTATCATGTGCAAAGACTTAAGAGTTTAAATTTGTATAGAGTAAAATAGTCGCTGTATTTGTATGTGCACTGTAATGCGCATTACCACAGTATCACTACAATTCCTGTATTATGCAGAATTTGATAGACTATTCCAGCACCACAACATTCAAGAGTGTCTTGTAATGTTACGATACGATAGACCTTCAGTTGGCTGTGCATCTTGGATTCAGATGATGCTTTACGGTTTATGAAGTACATTCATGTTAGTTATATTTGAGTGTTGTCAACAAACTTTGCCTAAAAACCTAATTTTTGCATACGTATGCCACTGCAACACACAGTAACAGACTAGGATGTCACACAGCTTGCCAAGTCCCTCTGCAGATATCACATCGCTCTGCCATCTATTCAACTCAACCTGAACCTGAGAGTCTTTTCATTCTGCCCTGAGCGTCCAGTAACACTCTTCTTCCTGCATTTAGAACCAGAAAGCAGAAGAGGTGAAAACATTAGCATGCAGATGCCTGACGTACGACTCAGAAACTAGTTTGGCAGGCTTTTGTTTTCCAAATTAAGCCGACAGTGTGCTGCAAGCCTTTTGTTTTGCACAACATACACGGGGAGGAATTATGAATTATTGCATTATGCAAAGACGATTTCAGTTTTTTTTAAGCCATAAGAGTCTCCATATGACACATGTTGTGAAATTGGCGCCAAAACAATTTCCACCTGCTGGTGAATCAGCATTTCAACCAACTTTGTACACTTTTTTAACCCGTGTAGAAAACACAGCTCACAAACAATCACTTGCTACAAGTAAGAAACTGCACTGTTTTTAAAGCCAGCCATGTGTATTCACCGAAACATCATTTTAGTGTTTTAATTTGCTTTATGTTATACCATTGTATATTGCACTTGTGGGTCTCACTGCTTTATTTCTGTCATATTAATACTCTTTAGACTTCTTGCATTCTCAGTCTGCTCTGGGATATTTTAAAGTCCTGTCATGGCTCACCTGCCATCTAGTGGCCATCGGAGAGTCCTTCTCATTGGTGTCAATATCCCCTGCTTTCATCTCAACAATGAACCCCAGAATACATATGGCAGCTTTCACAACAAGTTCACCAGATCGATCAGTCCTTTACCTCCCTGCTGCAGACCAAGTCAACAGCTCGTCGACCTGCTGTGTTGAAAGCTTGATATAGACACCTACCAGACTGACTGTCGTTGCTGTAGGCTTGGACTTCCACCATCCTGGTCTTTGTCTCAAACCACAGTTGGTTAGGCTGGAGACCGTCGCTGAACCACAGTTTGGTTAAATCTACACAGTTTGGAAACAAAAGAAAAGAAGCAGCGGAAATTCTGTAAAACGTACACAACAGTGCTGCAATCAAAGTGGGAGTGTTCATTAGTCAGGTCTGACCGAGAGGAGGAAAGGTGCTGGTGGCAAGTAGATGTTTTAAGATGTACAACAGTATAAATTGCTGAGAACAGGTTGCCTAAATAATTCAGTGTTACATTAGTCTGCTGCCTGGAGAGGATAAAGATGGATGAGAAATGTAATTCCACAGCAGAACTGAACAAGTTATTAGAGTGGAAATGAAAGAATACACCAAGCCCCGAGACTTCCTCCCAAAGACACTGTGGGTGTTTGAGTCTTCAAAAAGTATTGGGTACTATTGAAAGCTCTGTTGCTCTTCCAGCCTTACCTTTGTCCACGGTGACCCAGAGGAGGATGCCCTCAATATGTGTGAAGGCGGTGAGAAGGCCTGATCCTGTTTTGTACTGTTTGTATCCTGTTCCATCCACTCCAATAGAGCCGATTACATCCTCGCCTGGAGAAAATGAGTAACCAGACAGGTAAACACAGGCCAGCAAAAAAAAAATAAAAATGTTGTCAAGTGTGTGAAATTGATTTGATTCCTCACCTGTGTCAGCCCAGTAGATCATGGTTCCGTGATTGGAAAAGACCAGCGAGGTCGGGATGCTCGATTTCCTCCACAGCACAGCTTTGTTACGGCCATCCATCCAGGCGCAGCCCACCTCGGTCGCGTTCACTATAGCGGTGTAACAAAGTTGTCCCGAGGGGGGGTGCACTGCGATGGATGTTGTGCACTGAGAGGATGAATGAGACCTGGGATAAGCTTACCAGGAAATGCAATACAACTGCAAAATAATTGTCTTGGAGCAAAAAAAGTCAATGGGTCAACCAGAGGGTCGAGCTGGTTCGAGTGCGCGAACTAGAAAATGTCACTGGTTCGGTCAAAAAGTGACAAAGTAGCATTGCGAGTAAGTACTGAAAAACTTACAGAAACATTGCGTGCAACAGTCACAGCCCTCTTCCCCCATCTCCGTCTTACTGTCAAACACCGAGCTGTGGCACTCCAGTCCCAAAATATATCTGCTAAACAGATTTTGATAAATAATCTTGAAGCTAGAGAATTGAAAAATGACAGCTCAACAATTCAAATGTAGTGTCTTTTGCCCATTTAAATTTTGTAAAAGTCACAGTAATCCTTCAAAACTAGTGTTCTGAATACAGGAGTCCTTTTGTCAGGACAACATCAGACGGTCAACAAGGGAAGTACCGCAGCTGAGTCAAAAGAAGTTGTAGCCATGAGAAACGCATGTCGGGAGGAAAGAGAGATGATGGATGAGCAAGTGTGAGCAGTGAAGCTGACTTCACCTTCAGCGTTGCCTGCAGCAGCAAGGTGGTGTAGCCTTCTTGGCGAGAGGTCACGTGGAGATCAGGCCTCGCGGTGCTGCTCCAGTACAGGTTGGAGGTCACCCAGTCAACTGCCAGAGCTGTGACTTCATCATCCTTGTGCGACGGAGAATTTTAGTTTCCAGAATTAAAATTTGCCATTAGAAATGCTGACTGGCCTTTCTTCTCACCTGCTATCAACTATTAAGATATTTTAAAAAATAAATCATAATAAAGCATTCAAACCTAAAATCAGCCTAATTGTAGATTTTTTTTTTGATGAACAGATCAAAGCTAAACTAAGAGGGTGATTATTAGAAGAAACCAGGAAATACTAATATATATACATAGTGAAAATGTAAGGCACTATAGTAACCGTTTATGCTACAATGTCACTTCATGGCTTGGGTCCATCGACAATTAAGTGTGACAAAAAGCCTGAAACCATGGAAAAACAAACCATTTATGGACTAAACAACCTTTTTGTCAGGATTTAAGAAATGCTCATTTCCTTTGAAGGGCTGATTATGCTTACCTTCAGCTGGAGGATCTGTCCAGCAGGTGTCGGTCCCTGTCTGGACCTGGAGTCGCTCAGTTTCAGCACATCCACAGATCGTTGTCCTGCATCGGCCACATACAGAGAAAGGTCCTGCATGGACAAGTCTAGCCCAGAGGCCTCGGTTACTCCGGGCAGGGCTAAAGCTCGGCCGTTTGGCATCTTTTTCAGAGCAACGCCATCGCGACGCATGGAGTTCAAGTGAATCTGCAAGTAGTGGGAAGATGAGGTCCAGGAGGAAATGAGAAAGAGCGGGAGAAGAAAAGTGTATTAATCAAAAAGGCTTCCAACCAGAAAGGAGAGCTTAAGTTTCTCAGAAGTGTTTGGCAAGCAAAGGCCTGCAGGTTCTCTGGTCTTTACGACACAATGAGAACATTCACCTGATAGACTGTGGTAGGAGACAAAAGCAGGATGAACGTTAACTCCGGCGGAAGAGAGCAGGTAATCTTGTCCTTGGAAAGCAGCAGCCCCTTTGGGCACCGGCAAACCGCTGAAGGGGCCCTCTCTGTCCCCAATGCGCCAGACTTTCTTCTCGTCGCCGGGGCCAGGAGGCAGAGGTGGGAGCAGTGCAGCTGGTCACAGGGGTTGGATATGGTTGGCTGGGAAAGGGTATGCATCAGCTGGGGAGAGAGGAAACATGCATATCAAGGCTCATGGCTATGACTTAATACTGTAGTCGTTCTGCTTAAGAAGTATGGATTCAGCTGTGAGAATAAAATACTGAAACATGGTAACTTCTATCTTAGATATTCATAGTTGCAGCCAACTGATTTATTCATGAAATCTAAATATGTTCAAATGTGGTTTGCAACCACAGGATTAGAAGAGCAGATTACTCAGCATTCAGACACCAAGAGAAAAATACAACTTTTGCAGATATTTACAGTTATGCCAATATTTCTTAAAAGAAAATTGGAAAGTGTCACAAATGAGGCAAATCACCACAACATGTTTTGGATCTGCCAATCCCTGCTGCAGATCCCATTGACATTCATGCCACTTTATATGGGTGATACCTCCTGAAAATATTTACAGCGGCAGCAAAGCAAAAAAAAAAAAGCAATCACTTGTAAATGGTTACAATCCGACCCGGCTACAGTAGATAACCGGCTTGAAATCAAAGATATTCATGAGATGCAAAGACTGATTTTCATACTAAGATTGAGCAATGATTCATACATTGCAAGATGGACAAAACATTTGTAATGAGTTTGGTAGTTTGCCTCAATCAAATTAGTTGACTCACTTTCAATCCAAACGGCTGTCCGGGTCTCTTCAGAAGAACCTTTTGATCTTTGCCGGTGTTCTTGTCGGCCGAGCGGATGGTTCTTCTTTTCGTGTCAGACCAGAAGACTCCGTCATTGAAGACCGCCACGGAGAAAGGGCTCGGTGTTTCGGCTAACTGGAGGATCTAGCGAGAGAAAGGAAACCGCCATCAGCGTTCACCAGCTGAAACCACAAACGATCCTCAAACATCATTCAACTATGTGGCGCTTACCTTGACGTTGTCTCCGTCCAGAGAAGCCGAGCCGATGCAGCGCAGCTTCTCGTCGGCCCAGTACACCCTGTTGTCCAGGGGGTCAAAGGCCAGACTGACCGGCCAGATCAAGCCTTGGCTCACCACCACCTTCCTCTTTGAGCCGTCCATCCCAGACCGCCCGATCTGAGGGCTGCTGCCGATCTCAGACCAAAGCATCATCCTGAAAATGTCCATTACGCAATGCATGCAAAGATGAACGATATGGGTTTAAAGTTGGGAACACGTTTTTTCCTGTCGTTAAAATGAGCACCTTACCCTTTGTATGGCAGCAGGACCAATGAGCTTGGCTGCTCCAGATCTTCACCCAGGACCACAGTGTAGTCCTGAGATCTCACCGTGGTATCACTGAGCTTCACAGCCAGAATCTGACCCACCAGTCCATCCACCCAGTACAGGTTCTTACCAACCCAGTCCACTGCGATGAAATCAGACTTCACTCCTATAACGAGATTTCAATTTTCAGTCTCAACTCTCCAAATTATTTAGTTGGGGGGCTTAAATCAAGCACATACATTCCATTTCAATGAGTTAATAATTTGTCAAATATTGTCTATTAAGGGAACCATCCAGACCAACACAACTGTATAGAGTTCCTGAGACAGCCATACCTTTGACAAGTGTTCCTTTGCTGATTGAGTTGGTCATGTCGGCCCAGCGGATGCTCTGGTAGTCGGGGCTCAGCCAGTAAACTCTTTGTTGAGCCCAGAGATAATCCAGGGTGAAGACTGGTCGATTGGCAGAGGACAAACGACGCAAGGAGCCACTATGGACTCCCAGGATCAGGAGCTCCGACTGCACCGACGCCAGAAGCAAAGGCTCGTCTAGAGACGGAAACATGACCGGTGAGTTTTTGTCTTGCTCCTTTCCAGAGTGAGTAGTAGAGGCCAATACAACTTTCACCCTGAACTTGCGTGATATTAGGTACGATAGTTTTGATGACTTCATTATTTGGTAAAAGACAAGAACCACTTTCAACACTTTGACTATTCAAGAGTGCTCCCGCATCCAAAATTTGACGGTCAGCTGCTAGGAAAGGATTGCATTCACATAAACATGAGAATTCAACTGGACTTTTCCTTGAACAAGCAGACGGTGTCGAGACACACTGCACCTTTGGACTTGCAGGTTTTGTTGTCAGGCTCCAGGTAGAACCCAGGGAGGCAATGACAGACGTAGGAGCCACGGGTGTTCAGGCAGGTGTGTTTGCATAAGACATGTGGCACTGCATTGCACTCGTTGATGTCTACACAGGAGACAGCACTGGACTGTAGTCTGAAACCTGCAGCACAGTAACATGTCTGCAGAAATGAGGGGGAAAAAAAAAAAAAAAAAAGGCATTTTCATGAGCTTGGCACGCAATTCATATGAAAATAGAGTCAAAAATGTTATAAGTTTCTAGATACAGTTCTTAGCTGTGAATAAAAGAGTGCCAACTCTTGAATTTGGGCCAAGAGCAGCTTGCTTGCCATTCCATCTAAGCATATTGAGGTTAAGTTTGGGAAAAGGCCAACACTCTCGAACAGAACAAGCACAAGCCACATCCGTTCTGCACTGACCGGTCCGTTCGGGGTGCTGACACAGCGGTGGTCACACCGCGGGGCTGACAGACTGGTGCAGTTGCGTCGAGCACATCCCGCGCCCTCGTCTGAGCTGTCGGCACAGTTGGTGAGGCCGTTGCACACCAGGCGGGGGTCCACACACTCACCGCTGCCACACTGGTAAAGGTGAGAGGCGCAGTTTCTCCCGCTGCCTGCGAGAGCAGATGCACAGATTTGTTGTACTTCAGAGTTTCCTCTACAGTGAATGAGATGCATTTGTATTGCATAGCTGATTTCACCTTATTTTTTAACACTCAGAAACAACAACAACATTATGCTATGTGAAGCCCCATTGAGATGGTAACAATACAGATTAGGGGCTCTTCAGTACCATGAAACACCTAATTTTAGTTTTAAACTGAAGAGACCATCTGTGTAAAATATGGGGCAAATCAGCGCATGAATATTATATGGCTTTGAATTAAAATGCAATTACTCTTTTGAAAGATTATTCTTGTATAACTAATTCAAATAGGCCTGAATGCTGGATGGCAAAACAAGTGTCTGAAGCGGAGAATAAACCCGACTTATTTAAGAGCCGTACACTGGTGTGTATTTTAGTGTAAATGTTGCTCACATTTGTACTCGTCGACACCGTTGTGGCAATCCTCCTTCCCGTCACACTTCCATGACAGAGGGATGCATTGACTGCTGTCTCCACACGGCCACTGGTATTCCCTGCACTTTGTTTGTGGCGACAAGCAGTTCTGTAAACAAATGAGACCAAGTTTCAACTACGGCTTCCAAACCTCACTCAAAACAAAAGCATTGCCTTAGTCCTCATCCAGTATGCGCAGCCACAAAACAATGAAAAAATAACACAAATAAAGCAGGGAAAAGCTCCCTTAATTATTGCTTCTACTCATTAACACGGGTTTAATAACTGTAGTGCCTTACCTTCTCATCTGAGCCGTCTACGCAGTCGTCTTCGCCGTCACAGAGCCACTCCCTCTGCAGACACAAGTGGCTGTTCGGGCATCGGAGCTGTGCCGGGCAGCGTGGGGGCCTTGTGCAATGCGCCTCATCGGAGCGGTCTCTGCAGTCAGCATATCCATCACACCTCATGGCCTCCGACACGCACTGACCGCTAAGACAGCGATACTGGTTAAGCGCACAGGACACCAAAACTGGGGAGAAGAAAAAGAGAAATGTGGTAATCAGACATTTGTAGACACGTTTTACAGCCATCTTATAAATACTTACACAAGACTGTAGGTTTCATCCAAGTTTCTGTATAAGGGCTTCACGTACCGCACTTTTCTTCATCGGACCCATCAGCGCAGTCTCTCTCGCCGTCACACAGGAAGGTCTCCGGTATACAGCGAGTGTTGTTGTCACAGCGCCGATGGCAACCCTCGGTCAGACGTGAACAGTTCATTTCATCAGACCGGTCTTGACAGTCGTTCTGACCGTCACACACCTGCTCCGGAGCAATGCATCTATTCCCATGAGCACAAGGGAACTCATCTAGGGAAGAAAAAAGGAAACTCCTCAAAGACAAGCAATTGAATTTAACGCATCCATTTGAAAACAGAACATTTTAACAATCCAATTTGCAGTTAATGTTGTAAACAACTTGGTGGTTTCCTGGTCTAATATTAAACAAAATGTCATGAGACTCATAACTTCATCAACAGTCAATCCAAAGAAAAGGCCATTAGTTGTGCCAATGATGAGCACACAATCTTTAACATGAACAGATTGCAACATTGCTTTCAGCTGCTTTTTCCACCAGCTCAATGCACGTAACAAACCTGCTTTGCACCGAGCGGCACACTCTTCTTCATCTGATCCATCCTGGCAGTCCATTTCCCCGTCACACACATGGCTGTACATGACACACTCAAGGCCATCTTTACATGGCGTAAAACCTTTACGGCACTTCAGTGGGGCTGATGTGGCACCGGGTGCGTTGTTGGAGACTTGACAGAGAGACAAATGGCATTGAAAGGGGTATGAAGACACCCCAGCTTAGCTTTTGAGAGCTGGCAAGGAAACGGTGAAGTCAGGGATTTTTCTCTTGATTAACAAATGATGTACAAGTAGTTATGTGGGAGCAATAAAATGTTCTTGCAATGCATCGACACGTTATTGTCGCACTATATTTTGCCTGTTGGCTTACTGGGAGCCGTCGGATTTGCCGGTTGACACCGCTTCTCATCCGAGCCGTCGTGACAGTGGGCACGACCGTCGCACACCTCCATCTTGGGGATGCACATCCTCCGGTCGCTGCATAAGAAGTCATCTGGGGTGCAGGAAGGAAATGTGTCAATTCAAAAAAGCGCTAATCTAAAATCCTTTGGATCAAAGCCGCCCCGAGAGGGTATATTCATGGTTAAACTAAAGTACTTCCACTTTCTCTGAAACTCTCCCACTGTGGAGTCCATATCAATAATTTGGTAGATGCAAAAAAACATTTCTACCTTTGCCTCATGGTCATCGCTGGACTCGGACTCACCTGGATTTCTGCATTGGGCCCAACAGTTATTTTCATCAAATCCATCAGGGCAGTCTCTTTGCCCATCACACAGCTGAGTTGGAGAGATACACAGTGCTGGTGAACCTGGGCAGAGCACTGAAGGAGTGATGCAAGTTGATGTGGGAGTAAGAACAGGAGACTCTGTTGCCTCAGAAGTAACACCGTCTGGAAGGAGAGAAAACCAAAGTGTTCAACTCGAAAGTTGTAGCAAGAACGTTGGCTAGCTAAATTTCAAGCATTTATTGATGGGAGCTATGCCGCCTCATCGCCAATTGAGGAATATTTAAAATCTGGATCCGAACACTTACCGCAGCCCACCTCATCCGTGCCATCCAGGCAGTCTCTCTCGCCATCGCACAGGAATTTCTTCGGGATGCAGCGCTCGCCGTCGGCGCAGCGATGCTCGCAGCTCTTCGTTCCCTTCCAGCAGTCCAGTTCGTCGGACTGGTCTCTGCACTGCCACCTGCCATCACACACCTCAGCCTCGGGGATGCACATCTTCCCGTGGGAGCACTGAAACTCCCCTGGGGTGGAGTACAAATAAAAAAAAAAAGGTATGACTAATTGAATGACACAGCATTACAGCTAATCCTAATAAGTGCTTGTTTTCATTATATCGCGCTCTACTTTAATTTATTTTCGTAGACTTAAGACGCTATAAGATGGTCTTTTCCTCAGTGTAGAGGGTACAGCAAAAATAGTTATAATGTAAAAGCTGTGTTATCTTGACATCAGTTTGAAAATATATAAATACTTCAACGGCATATATGAGATTGAATTAAAACCTAGTGAAACAACCTCGCTGGCAGGTTTCTCGGCATCCCTGTTCATCAGAACCATCCATACAGTCCGTTTCTCCGTCACACACGTGGCTGAACAAAACGCACTCTGTTCCGTCATCACATGGCTTTGAGCCCACACGGCACTTCAGGACATTTGTTCGAATTGCAGGAGGAGCTGCAGGAGGAGCTGCAGGAGGACAGTCGACCTCGTCTGAGCCATCGTAGCAGTGAGAGCGGCCGTCACAAACCAGACTCTTGGAGACGCAGCTCCGACTGTCTTTGCAGCGGAAGTCATCTGGACGAGAAATTGAAGGAAAGCAAATCAAGGTGCAATCTGTACGAGCTGGCCAGCATCCAAGTTTAAAACGTTCAAGAAATGAACCAACATTATCAACAGAATGTGAAGATGGTACAGTGTTGACGTTATGTTAAAGACCTCCATGTATTGTTTTGCAGAGATATCTACTGAAATCAAACTACGAGTTGTTTCCAAGAAACAAAATATCAAATTGTAAACTGACCGTACAGTCACCCAGTTAGTGCCACACGAGAGTATTTTAAGATGTTAGTTTGACCTCTCAGAGTCTCGCAGTTTGGTTTTTGTTTTTTCAAACAACTTGACAGTAAATTTAGATTGCATGTATCCAGTAAAGAGTTCAAAGGTTGCCCCCTATTTCTTTGGAGTATGTGGCTACAACTACACACGGCACCTTCAAAAGGTTTCAGGACACTTTGAAAGAATCCATTTTCAAAAGAACACTTGATGTCCAGTGAAACGCATGTCATTTGGAATTAGGAGAAGACACAAACCACTTACTTTTAGAGGGACATATTTTCACGCAGTTCTCTTCATCGAAGCCATCGGGACAGTCTTTGCGCCCGTCGCAAAGTTGGCTCGGAGAAATGCAGAGGTGAGCAGCAGAACGAGGACAGGGCACAGAGGGGCTGATGCAGGCCGGCACCGTCAGAGCAGGGGGTTTGATGGCGGGTGGCATTCCGTTTGATGGATAATCATCTTTAAGGTAGAGCAACGATCACATAGTGAAGTTAAACCAACAAGGAGTTAAATTAGTATTTGTCAAAGATTGTGTTTTTTAAATTTTATTTAAAGAATTAAATAAAGGTTTCTTTCATAAGAAGAAGAATCGCAGATTGCATCAACATTTCTATAACTGCAATTTTTTTCCCCCAATAAGAGATTACATCTTGAGAAACTCACCACATCCTTGTTCATCAGATCCATCCATACAGTCAGCTTCTCCGTCACACACGTGGCTGAACAAAACGCACTCTCTTCCGTCATCACATGGCTTTGAGCCCAAACGGCACTTCAGGACGTTTGCTCGAGCTGCAGGAGAAGCTGAGCTCGGACAGTCGACCTCGTCTGAGCCATCGTGGCAGTGAGGGAGTCCGTCACACACCAGACTCCTTGAGACGCAGCTCCGACGGTCTTTGCAGCGGAAGTCAGCTATGGAGGGTAAAAGAGGATTTAAAGACATGAGTGGAACGTTTGGAATTTGCCCTGTATATTAAAAAAAAAAAAAAATTACAGAATACGCTTTGTACACAGCCAGGAGACATTTCTTGGAAAAAATATAACTTACTCTTGGAAGGGCATCTCCTTACACACTTCTCATCAGATCCATCAGGGCAGTCTTTCTTTCCGTCACACAGCTGTTTTGGGTTGATGCATAAAGAAGAACCTGGACACAGAACTGACGGGCTGATGCAGGCTGGCTTGGTGGGTGCAGGAGATTCATTCAAGGGGAGATTTTCTGCAGCATCCAAAAATATTATTACAAATATTAAGAGTTAGACAAGTGGAAAGTTTCATGTGAAAACATCACGATATTATGAAATGGTTATATTAGAAACAGCAAAGACTGTTTCTCTACAAAGTACTTTTACATTGATTATAAAGAGCAACCTTTGAATGAATACTCACCACATCCTTCTTCATCTGATCCGTCCCGGCAGTCTCTCTTTCCATCACAAACGAGACTGAAGAGGACACATTCTGTCCCATCTCCACACAGTCTGGAGCCCAT